ATTTTTTTTTTTTTTTTAATAATTGATAAGCCTCTGATTTAAGTTAAGCCTTTTAATTTTCCGAGTAATAAAAGCAAAATAAAAAAAAAAAATAAAAATTGATAATCTATTTTCAGTTACAATTTCCGATAATTTAAGCCGCTTTTATTGTAAGACCCTTTTTTGAACAAATTAATCCGAACACAAAAGCCATGTTTGTTTATTTTTTTATTTATTTTATTTGTTATCATTAAAGAACCTTCATTCTTTCTGTTACTCAAATTTCCAAAGTCGTGGCAACACTTTTCGTGACAAATGGCTGCAAATCAATCCGACAAAAAAAAAAAACTTTCCTTCGCTTTTGACTCTTTAATTGATCAAGCCCCTTTGAACTTTCTCTTATTTCATCAGTTAAATTATGCTAAGCCAAATTATAATCTTTTTTTTTTTATATTCGTACTCGAAAAAAATGTATTTTTTTTTTATGATGATTCAACTTCTGTATTAACTGATGCCTCGAAATCACCACAATTGTTAATGACGAAAGCTTTATTAAGGCACCAATCATAACTGTTATACAAACAATTATAGTGGCAAAGAAGTTAAGGTCTAACTTTAGGAAATATTGAAAATAGAAATAACCGCACGTGTCATTATTACGATTATCATCTATCTTTATTTGGAAAATAATAAAGATTTGGGGAGGGTGTCCTTCATTATATCGAGGCTTATCATTATAACGAGGCTTTTCGTTGATGAATGGCTTATCATTTATTTATATTATATCAACTTTTTTTATATTTTGTTTTAAAACTTTTATGAGATTTGACTCATTGTATAAACCGTTTTTATGTGGCTTTTATATAGTTAGTTAGTATACTTTTTGAAATAAAATAATTGAAAATAAATGAAAATTCGAAATTTAGAAATCCTAGTTCCCGAATATATATTTACTGATTTATAATTGGACATTTTGCTTTTGATAATAACCGTAATACGGTTTAACTTATTCTTCTTTTCTTCCTTTCAGGATTTCTACATATTTAACAAGTACCGAACAAACTCGAGGACGTCCCGGAGTGATACAATTTTTTTCTTACCGTTTGATTAAAATCAAAAAGAAAAAAAACTCGTTTATCTAATTTCCTCTTTTGAACTTAAAAAGTATAACTGGTGATTAAACTTGGTTGTATTTAATCTCGTAATCCTCAATCAAAAACTGTGTCAAACAAAAATTAACAAAGTATCATAATTTTGACTTTTAAGGGTATCATAACGAAAAACAAAATAATAAATATCCGAATATGGGATCATATCATGTTTATTTTAAAATGAAAAATGTATTTACTAGATGATCATTGTTATCATTGTTTCAATAGTTTGTCATACAAACAATGGTGCTTGCTGCGGCTTAGATGCGTTTTCATTTTTTTTTTTTTTTTTTGATTACCGGGAAATTTACAAATCTCCTTTAAGACAATTCTTGTCATTGTAATAATTCTTTGAATAAATTTAGGAAAATTGTTATTTAATTTACTTGATTTAATGTGATGATTTTTTCCTTCTTAATCATTTCGATAAAAACAGTTCTTTTTTTTTAAAAAAAAATAAAAAGAATGCAACTTGTAACCGAGAACAATGAATTGATTTTAGCGTTTCACGAGAAATTCATTATTTCATTTGACATCTCTTATTTTTGATGACATTGAGGCTTAAAAAATAAATAAGAATCTATATATTTTTTTTTATATATTAACAAACTCAAAACTCTAAACAATAAATAAATAAATAAACGATAACTAGTTTTTTTTTCCTTTGAACGATAAAATTCAATTAATCAACATCGTGTGCTTACGATTTAGCAATATGGCATCAAATCAGTTTGATCAAAGGAAAAATGTATTTCTCGAAACATAACACGAGATAACAAGTTAATGCATTATTAGTAAGTTCCTTTAAATCGTGGCATTTGTTGATTGTAAATTCTAAGCGATTCAACTCACGGGGCTCATTTCTTAACGAGAGGCTTTTCAGGCTTATCAAATAATTGGAAGTTTTTATAAAAATATTGGGGCTCATCAATTCACCATTCCTTACAAGAAAAAATTATACATTTATTCAAAATTCCCGTGCTGGAGAAAAAAAAAGTTCTCTGTCTTGTTCGAACAATGATGATCTATTTAATAATATAATATATCCTTTGTATTCATGAATTATTTTTTGTTTTATTTTTTGAATTTTACTGCGTAATAATAACGTAATAAACAAATCTGTGTTGACTTTGCAAAAAAAAAAAAAATAAAATAAAAGAAAAGTTTTACAAATATTTGCTTTTTTCATTACAAATTGCATTATCAAAAAGCCAGACACAAGACAATAAATCCTAGAAAACAAAAGATCGATCCGATTCACTGTTTTCTCTCCTAATTTATTATGATCATAATGATTTTCCTAACAAAAAATAATAAAAAATAAGAGTACCTTTAGTGAACTTGGCATTTATTGACGTAATTTCATTGAACATAATTATCATGATTATTACTTATCATTTGGAATTTCTTCATTGACGATTATCTAAATAAACAATGTAAAAATGCAAAACTTTATTTATTTTTTTTGGCATACTGACAGGTATGACATCATAGTTGACATTTTGTGATTCAAGTTATTTCAGGTCATAAAGTAATTAATACTGTTATCCATATATAGGTTGAATCAGAAATATTTCCGCAGTAAATGGTTGAAATTTCGATTTATAATTATTTCGTTAATTTTATAAAAAATAAATGTCCAAAAGAAAAATCATGCATAAACATATGTCGAGCTAGTAAAAAAAGATTTTTTTTTCTGATTATATCAAATGCGATTTTAAATTTTTAAAATAACGTGATTCAGTATATAAGTACTTTAGGGTTTGCAAGAATCGCATAGCCACAATAAATCAATTATAACTGAGAACTTATCAAGTAATAAAAAAAAAATCCAATCTCGAAACCGATATAATTTCATGAAAAACGTATTTTAAAGCTTTTTTTGATATCATATAAAATTTACTGCGGAATGAAGAGATTTCTGTCGTTACACAACGAATTGATTTTATTAATCTACCGAACTATCTAAGGCTGGTTTTGCGCAAAATCATATTCTTCTTTTAAACAAGAATGGAGGCTTAAATGCAAACACCTAAAATAAATATTTTAAATCAGTTCATGTTCTCGTTTATTAGGCTTAAAAAAGGCTTGTAGATGAAACAAATAGTATAGTAATTTTCTTTGTTGAGATGTGGCTTTAAAAAGGCTCTTTTTTTTTTTTTTTTTTAAATATAAAGGATGTTTTATTTTTGTTTTCCTTTTCTTTATGGAAAGCTATGGTATCATCTGAAGTTAATGGTACCTTGCAATAATGTTTTGAAAACTAAAACAAAATTCCCAAATGTTCCTAATTTTTAGTAATTATTTTTTGGTAAAAAAAAAAATAAACAAATTGTTCCAAACATTAAATTTTAATTCCGTATGATAATAATTGAAAGCTTTCAAATTTCTGTTACAAAATAATAAACGCGTGATTTGAGAATCAGCGTTTTGCCACAAACGATTATTTACGCCGCGACAGTTTTATACTATATAAGGGCAATTCATAAATTTTGTGCGACATTCGATTTCAAATATGTCTATCCACGATTTAAAGAAAAAATAAGTCACATGCTTTTATAATTTTGAGGCAACAAATTTCACCGATCCACCAATCACAAACTTTTCTCCTAGTATTTAGAACACAAAAATTAAATGTGGATTAATCAATTGACATGATAATTAGTAAATTTATTTATCAAAGAAGAAAATTTTAATTATGCCTTGACATTACAAAGATCATTTGCATTTATGACTTTTTGCGGAGAGGAATACCATATCTAATCAACATCCATTTTAGCCTCCTTAGCTCGAGAGTTCATCCTCTTTTATCGGTCGTTTGGATTTTTGTTTGACAAACAGTATAGTTTCATCACTTTGTTCCTCATCATCCCATGTATTTATTGACAACAAGACACCCTTCTCAATATCTCTGTTTCTGGATCATAAACGCAAGGCAACATTTTCATGAGCTCTTACGATCAGTTTCTTTCTTGATAAACTTCAAAGGATCAACCCATGATGTCAAAAATTCAGTCAAGGAGCAGATCAGTTTGTGATCATTGTTTTTTGACATTTCCATAGACTTTTGAGCTCAATCCAAATAACGCGACCGATAACTGAAATTGTTCTTGGAAAACCGAAATTTCTGAATGGTTGGGGTCTCCTCCTTTCAGCCTAAAAGTTTTAAGGAGCTCGTTTCTAGGCATGGGGAATCGACCTTCTCCACCTTTTGCTTAAGGAATTCGACACTTTCTTTTTTGCGGATCTAGAATTACATAACCAATGAAATATGTGCCAAGTTCATGTAGAGGGTAATGAGGAAGCTTTTCGATACCGACACAAGTTGGAGCAAGCAAGCTTGAACCAAATACGATCTTCGCATAGTTTATCGTCTTTGGTTCCAATAAAAAGCGGTATAATGAGATCTACACCACAATGATTCTCTTGCACAACACCGTAACTCCTCGAATTATAAATTTCAATGGATGCCGTCATTTTGGTGTGTTATACTTACAAAATGTGAAACGCTGCCGAATGTCAAATTTAAAGTCTTGGTCTCGTCTAATTTTGTTGACAATTTGATCAGTCAGCAATGATCTATCGGTTGCGAAAATAAATTTCCACTGGTTTTCGCACCAGATTCGAAGCATTTAAGAAATAAAAACTTCGCTACCAGTTCTTCTAATTCCCACTGCGCTTTCATTCAAAGCTGATATAATCGGATCGACTAAATCTTGTAGTGGTATTGATGGTGATAGTGATGATAGCGATGATAGCGCAAAAAAATAAAAAAAAATAAAAGCTGCAAATAACACTACAGCATTGGTAAGATGATAGTGGCGTAAGCATTGGAATTGGCGTTGGTGGTAACATTGGACATGCTGAAGCCTATCGCTGAGCACCTGATGAGACTTTTAAATGAGAGAGGTTGATGATTCTAATAAATACTTGGGACAATACGTTAACCAATGTCCATCTTATCAACAACTTTTACGTGAGAGAACCTTTTGACCGAACAAAATTGGCATTGACATTGACATTTGGCGTTGGTGGTAACATTTGCAATGCAGAGCTTATCGCTGAGCACTCGATGAGACTCTAAAAAAAAAAAAATTGTTGATAAGATGGACATTGGATAACGTATTTTTCCAAGTATTTATTAGAACCTGAACAAAGTTGTCATTGGCATTGGCATTGACACTGGCGTTGGTGGTAGTTTGACGTTATTCATAATTCTAGCAGATGCCTCAGCGGCAACAGGCTCTGAAGCAAAGCCGGTGACGATTTGGTCGCATCTTTCAGAAACGTAAATACAAAGCCGCAAATAGTTTGATACTAGTTCAGATGCGTAGTCAGATTGCGGAACGATGTCAACGCAAAGACTTGGTCCGAGAATTCCCAGCGCATTCGTGTTTGGTCTTGTGCCATATAATTCGTTTGTCCAGGAAGCGTTGTGACGCATAAAGATAAAATTATTTTTGGTCTTAGACTTTATTAAATATATTTGCCCATAATTATCTTCCTTGTATTTTATCTATTTTTATAATAAGCATACGACTTGATCCATTATATTCATTTGTAATAAAATACTCTATTTTCTGAATATTTCTTGAATGTTTTTGGCTGATAATGTTCAACGTAAACATCTATGGTGTCCAGAAGGTAGAAGTGTGGGAAAAATTTGCTGCCGGTTTCTGACACCCGTTTTGATGGTCTTGATATCAGAGAAACGGTATCAGTAAAGATGGCAAATGCTCCTCCCTTTTTGCAAAGCAGATGCATATATTGGTGCGTCAAGATCATACATGATGATCAGTTTCCGAAACGTAATTTCTCTCATTAACAGAGGCCATATTGAGTAATATATGAATTATGTGTTGGTTGCATAGGTTAGGCTTTCGATCAGATCGTGTGCCTCATAAAGGCAAAGATTAGCTTAATGTAATTTGATTCCATGTTTTTTAATTGACTGTTTCTTTATTAAATCGGTATCTATTTATCTATTTTTTCTGAAATTAAATAATAATATCAGGTGGAATCTGTTCACCACGTAGTAGTCATTTACCTTTAAAATGTAAATCAGCAAAAATTTTATACCATTTACAGGATAAAAATTAGATAAAGTAAAACTAAAAGAAAAAACTATTAAACAGAACTTTACCTGTAGTATATATCAAGATAACTATAAATCAATTCTTTTCATTACCAGTACTGCAAATATGAATTGTTTTTCACCTATAATATCAATTATAAAGTTTTCTACTATGTTGAACCAGATAGGAGTTTCATTCATATTTAGAATGTTAGATAACTCAAATGATTTTTTAGTTCTAAGATTGATGATAAACTGACAAAAATTTTCTAATAACTCAGCAGTTTGTGATGAAAGCTTTGCTTTAATATTACAAAAATAAATTAAATCTTTTCATAAATGTGAATATCTAACAGTTTGATATTTTAAATTATTTGTTGAATATCTATAAAGACTTACCATAGCAGATTCTTTTAAATATCTAGCATCTCAATTCACATAATAGCATATGTAACACTTAAACTCTGCTTGCTCTACTCAATAATCTAATTATATAGTTTTTTTCAGCTTCTGGATAAAAACTTTTTTATCCAGAATCTATTTATTTGCAGTTTTAGTTTAATTTTTTAAGTTAGTCGCTAAATTAATTCAAATGAAAATAGTTATACTTTTATTAAGTTCAAAAGTATTTGCCACTCTAATTATTTTATTTTCCTTAGTATAATAATAACTTGTTTCTTTTGCTCAATAAAATATGAATTGCAGCTTCATTTAAGGGTTTTTTATTAACTGATATTTGACTTTTTTACTTTTATGATTACATATTAACTTTTAAATCAAATTTAAAAATAAGTTTATAATTGATCACATATAATTTATTGATTATAATATTATGCTATATTATACAAATAATTATTTTGCGTAATGTGATGATGAAATATTTATCATGCATAAAACTTTTACAGTAAATATGCATTTTTTTTGTTTTCTTTTTCTATGAAAAAAAAGTACCTGAATTAAGCAACCTTATAGCAAAAGAGTTACTTTATTTTTAAATAGTATAGTATTAGATAATTTTATAAATTAAATTATATATAATACGTAAAAATAGAATTATAATTGCAATTTATAATTACTAGATAATTTTGTTAAATAGAATTACTCATTATATGCAAATTGTTTCAAATTTTTAACATATGTTAATATAATTTTATATAAATTTATAGGGGATCTGACAATCCTAGTTTAATTCGTAAGGTGCGAGCTCCAATTATAGTTACACTGCAATAGATCTTAGTTCAACACCAGCTAAGTACAAATCGCGATATTAATTTACTGCAGAATTTACTAGTTCAATTCTGAGAATTAATATTATAGGATGCACACAAATTATATGCATTAAAGATTACAAATTTGTAGAATATGGTAAACCTGTGTAATTACACAAATAGTCATATGCATGTAGAACTGATTGAATTTAGAACTTGTATAAGGGCTGGCCTGTAATAGGCAAGTATTGTATTATCTGTAAGGGGTTACCTCAGATAACAAGCTGTGACTGATCAATAGTAAATGCTGTATAATTTGAATTAAACAAAAGTCATAAATTACAGGTGATTTCTAGTTAAAATGCCATGATGTCTATGAAATCAATTAGAGTTTGAGAGGTCTGAGTTCAATTCTTAGAGTGATTTTAATAGTCTTGGCGTACTAACTATGTTAGATAGCTATTCTGAATTAAGTTAGTAAAGACTTCTCTTTCCAATAATTGGCTAGAATCCTTTATACTAACAGCACTTAGAAAATGTTATATGGTATTCAAAATGCATAGCTTGTCATGAAGGTTAGTAGTATTAACAGCTTAGACCAACTTGAGAAATAGTAAAAAAGTATTAGAACCATGATACAACTGGTATATAGATGTATGAGACACAGTCTCAGATATCTCAAGTGACTGATCACTAGAAAACTAAAAAAAAATATATATTTATAAAGTATCTTTTTCTTTTTTCTTTAATTGTTAAAATTTTTATTTTACAATTTTTTTTAAATTTCATTTTAAAAATACCAAATACAATTGATTAGAAGTAATAATGAAGTTCAATTTTTGATAAATGAAAGGAA